TCCTAAAAATGTTTCTTATAAAGAAGTGGATTTCTGTAATTCAGCAGGTTTATTGCAAACAGACTGGCAACGTTGTCAATATGTATTTAAATGTAATATGCGAGATTGAAATTCAGTCAGGAAGAGCAGTAAGAAGTTCCAGGAGAACGCAACACTTGCACAAAAACACAAAAGCATCAAATCTTCTCAGAACTTCATTTCAGATTGTACACAGATCAGACAGTACTGAGAATGTCAGATATCACCAAGAAGGAATCTGACCTCAAAACTAGCCAACAATGATGGAAAGAGAAAGAGAAACATTTTCATGTTACTAGATTCATCATGGTTTTATGACGTCTCTTTGGTATTAGGCCTTTACATTTTAAATCCAGCAATCTGACACATCTGTCTGGGTTTCACATCACCATATTGGGAATAGGAAATTTCGGATTTTAAAGTTTTCATAATTGAGCTACTGGCATTATTAGGTAAAGGGAATACTCTGACAATGCTCTAAAACAATGTCTCTGTCATCTAGTTCTCAGTAACTGTAACAGATGCACTGATGTTTAGTTATATACAGTTATAAGAACAACGAATTTATTCTTATAGCACATCTGTAGTCCTGTAACAATTACAACTGAATTCTTTATAGATTATCAGCCTGCTTGGTTGTAACAATCTCCTGAATTTCCTGAATCAGTATGGTCAATTTATTACTGACTGTAGAGTTTATAATGTTATTTATTTATTTATTTATTTATTTATTTATTTATTTATTTATTTATTTCATGCTTAGTATTTGTTTAATACTTTACTCTAAAGGGATTTTGGACCCCAGTTGACAAAAAGTGATTATTACACTGCAAATATAAAATCTTCCATCCATCCATCCATCCATCCATCCATCCATCCATCTGTCTATTTTCTATACCGCCTGTCCTACAGAGGGTCACAGGGAGCCTGGAGCCTATCCCAGGGGACTCAGGGCACAAGGCAGGGGACACCCTGGATGGGGTGCCAACTCATCACAGGGCACAATTGCACATACACTCACACACCCATTCACACACTACAGAAAATTTAGACATGCCAATCAGCCTACAACACATGCCTTTGAACTGGGGGAGGAAACTGGAGTACCCGGAGAACAGGCAAACACCGTGCACACGGGCTGAAGTGGGAGTCGAACCCCCCAACCCTGGAGATGCGAGGCAAACGTGTATATTAGAAATGTATCTAGTATTTCTCATTCTGAGATGATCAGAAAAACAAATAGAAGATTAATAAGGTCATGTCTAGGCATTTAAAAAAAAAAATTAATTTCAAGATTAAAATGGTTTTGTTTCATTCATTCATTCTATCATTCACCCACCTAAGGGAAATTTAGCCTCGCCAATCCATCTAATGCAGTGTTTTTGGGAGTTTGGAGAAAAACAGAGACCTCAGAGGAAACCCACACATACACAGGGAGAACCCATTTCTCTCAACTTGAACATAACTGGTTTTAGACACAAATATTTTTTAAAGCTATAGACATATTTTGTAGCATAAAATATAAAATAAATGGATAGACAAAAAGCTTGCCCTGTAATGTAGTTGACCTTTTGTTTCGTGTCACGCTTCATCACTCACATCACTTCCTGCCACACCTCCGGGCTAAGTGGCAATGTATGACAGCATGAGATTTAAATCCCGCTCAGTGATTCGCTCCCGGAGGCCTGCATGGGCCTGACTTCGCGTTGCCGTTTTAACTGTGCAGCTCACAGCAGGATTATTTAGCCGAGCTCACATTTCATCCTGATACATTTTCATTTACAACATTGTGCCAGGCGTTCATGCTTATACATTCCCAGCCCCCCTCACCACCCTCAGCATATTTCTGTACCAAACAGGGGTCTGGATCAACTCCATTCCAAAGCAAACATTTAATCTAAAAAAAAGGAATTTCCAATTAGATCAAGTTTAACTGAGGCAGGAAATTACCCAGTGGTAATGTACAGCACACAAAAGCCCAGGGCTTACACCATTAAAATAGAAAACAGTTTCCAAGAAACACTTCACCATAAAAACTCTATGTAATCTGCTGGTACAAAGGCTTAATTGCATCCTTAATTATCTTTTAGTACACTGGTGCAAATTTGGATTTTTAACTATTTCATTAAATCCGTCACATATCCTCTTGTTTTGGCTTCGGTCCTATCTCCGCCCCACTCTCACCATTGGTTTCTTTTTCAAATATGTACACCTGTTCTTAGTTTTGCACTTGATTATTTTGTTTATTTATACCCTCGTGTTCCTTTGTATTGTTGAGAAGTCTCATTCAGAGTAATTGTGCATTGCATAGCTTTGCTGTCTATTCCTGTTCATTTCCATTTTAAATTATTTGTAGTATTTTTCCCATGTTTTCTCCCTAATTTGGCCTTGTCCAATTCCCACCTACTAGCCAGATCTCCCCTATCATACAACAGCTACCATCTCTGAGATTAACAAAGGAGAGAGAGTAAGCCACCCCTCCCATGCAGATAGTATGGCCGATTGTACTGTCTTGAACTCCCAGCCATGGATGAACACTTCTGTTGTGCCAGTCTTTTCTGGTATTGCCTACATGTGTTTTTACCCCTGCCTTACACTTTGACCATTGTTTGTGGAAAACTGTAGAACTACTGACAACAAAGAAATCTGGCAATACAGAGATGTTTTTAGCATGAAAAGAATTCTGACATTATTAACAAGATGGTGCGAATTTCGTTCAAAGAACATGGTGCATATATATATATATATATATATATATATATATATATATATATATATATATATATATATATATATATATAGTTTTTGTGATTTTGCCTTTATACACCACCACAATGGATTTAAAATAAAACAATCAAGATGTGATTGAAATGTAGACCTTGAGCTTTATTTTAAGCGGATAAACAAAAATATGGCATTTACCATTTAGGAATTAAAGCCATTTTCAGCAAAGTACCTCCATTTTCAGGGGCTCAAAGGTATTTGGACAAAGTGATATAATTTGTAAGTATAACCATAATTTTAATACCTGGATGAAAATCCTTTGCAGTCAATGACTGCCTGAAGTCTGGAGCCCATGTTCTCAAAACTCAAATTCTGAGTTTCCTCCCTGGAGATGCTTTGCCAGGCCTTCACTGCAACCACCTTCAGTTGCTGCTTGTTTGAGGGTCTTTCTGCCTACAGTCTTGTCTTCAGTAAGTGAAAAGCAGCTCTACTGGGTTGAGATCAGGCGACTGACTTGGCCATTGAAGAATATTCCATTTCTTTGCCTTCAAAAAGTCTTGAGTTGCTTTCGCAGTATGTTTAGGGTCATTATCCACCTGCACTGTGAAGCGGCGTCCTATCAGTTTTGTAGCATTTGGCTGAATGTGAGCACAGACTATAGCCCTGTACACTTCAGAATTCATCTTGCTACTTCTGTCAGCAGTCACATCATCAATAAACACCAGTGAGCCCGTTCCATTGGCAGCCATACATGCCCATGCCATAACACTGCCTCCACCATGTTTGACACATGATGTGGTATACTTTTGATCAAGAGCTGTTCCTTACTTTCACCATATTTTTCTCTTCCAATCATTCTGGTACAAGTTAATCTTGGTTTCATCAGTCTAAAGAATCTTATTCCAGAACATGGGAGGCTCTTTTAGATGTTTAGAAGTTTAATCTAGCTTTCCTGTCCTTGAATGTTACCAGTGGTTTGCACCTTGTTGTAAACCCTCTGGAGTATTCTTGACTTATGTTGATGTTGTGAAGGGGTTTTTCCTTCAAGAAGGAAAGGATTCTGCGATCATCCACTTTAGTTGTCTTCCGTGGTCTTCCAGGCCTTTCGATGTTGTTGAGCTCACCAGTGCTTTCTTTCTTTTTAAGAATGTACCCAACTGTTGATTTGGCCACACCTAAGGTTTTTGCTATCTCTCATAGATTTATGTTGTTTTTTCAGCCTAATGATGGCCTCCTTCACTTGCATTGAGATCTCCTTGGACTTGATATTGGTAGCTCCAGCCGAACAGCTGCCAAATGCCAACTCAATACCTGATATCAACACCAGACCTTTTATCTGCTTCATTTGTCTTGAAGTAACGAGGGAATGGACCGCACCTGGTCAATTAACTTCTTGTCAGTCACTTTGTCCAAATACCTTTGAGTCCCTGAAAATGGAGGTACTTTGCTTAAAATGTCTGTAATTCCTAAATGGTAAATGCCATATTTTTGCGGAACCTCTTAAAATAAAGCTTTTTTTATTTCAAATCCATTGTAGTGGTGTATAAAGGCAAAATCACAAAAACTCCATCATTGTCCAAATACTTCCGGACCTGACTTTGTGTGTGTGTGTGTGTGTGTATATATATATATATATATATATATATATATATATATATATATATATATATATATATATATATATATAAAATATATAATCACCCTAATATTAAAATCCATTCTAACAGGAAGGGGATATAGGACTGAGGAAGTAGGTCACTCATATCTTCTGGCAATTTCGTAAAATATAAGATTCCTGGAAATAGTTCACTTTAATAATAATGAACTAAATACTTTTAAAGCATTATAAGTTCTTTGCCTGAAGCAATGACAGGAAGTGATAAGTGTCTCTTAAAGCTTAGCTGCAGGAAAAAAAAAAACAATAACAAGCAAAAGGCTCACATAACAAGAAAATGGTCTTTGCACATGAACATGAGTTAATGGAGAGCAATAATCAGGGTATGGGAAAGTTAAGATATGAGCCAAGACTCAGAAAACAGGAATTACAGAAACTATGGAAGAAACGGATTACATGTACAGTGTGTGTATTTATATGCATGTTAAAGGGTGTTTGTGTGTATATATGTGTGTATAAGGAATCATGTATTACGTGATATTCAAGTGCAGGGATAATGGTGAGCCAGTAGGCAATATACATTTACATATGTATCAGAGCATGGATGGAGATACATTTATTCACGTACATATGTATGTATGGGTCCCTGGAGGACTAGTGGTTAGGCCACGGCACTCTCACCACTGCGCCCAGGGTTCGATTCCTAGCCAAAGAACCTACCCCAGCCACTGGAGTTGTGTGCAAAAGTGCACTCTCAGTGCCAGTACCAAGCCCGGATAAAATTGGGGAGGGTTGTACAAACTGTGCCAAATCAAATATGCAGACCAATGATCTGCTGTGGCGACCCCTAACGGGAGCAGCCAAAAAAGCAACAACATATGTATGTATGGATGTGTTGCTTTTTATGTTGGCTATGGGTTTTCTTTTTTTTTTCTCCTAATTTTCTTTTTTGTAAGTAAAACCAAATAGCTTTTAAAAAGATACTGCACTCCATATTTCATATAGGTACTTTGGTGCTAATTAATATTATTATATATTATTGGTTAGAATGTGTGATTAGGCCACATAAACATATAAGTATAAACAAGTATGTTGAAGATTTGCTAGGCAGTTGACTTCATTGTTGAACTCAGTAGGACTTAGTAAGGTAACATAAGCTTATTCTGGTAAAATAGATGCATTTTGCACTGAGATAAGTCTTCTTTGAAATCAGTGATTTGTACCCTGTTGCTGTTCCAAACCTGAGCATAAATATATGCTGATTTGCTATTTAACAAAATAAATCCCTAACATAAATCGTTTGCTTGCAGTGTGTGCTTTCAGCTCTATCCTAAGAGAAAGGGGCTCTTCAGTCCCTGGTATAAGAACTTCAGACAGCAGTTGGAGATTTGCAAAAACAAACTTGGTTTACTCTGGAGATTTTTTGTCTTTGAGGCTGACATGGAGGGATTTATTTGCTGCCAGGCAGTTTTCACTCATCATTTTGAGTCAGTGTTTATTTCACAAGCTAATGTTAGCTTTCATATTAGAGTATTAAATAGATGATCTACAAAAGAACTTTACACCTGCCAACCTATGAGAAATTGATATTTTCTTAGCCCATGGTATTAAATATCTGTTTAAAAAAAAAATAAAAATAAAAAATACATGATTAAAGCACACTTTAAAAAAAAGCATGTGATATAAAATGTTAAATATTATAGCAGCTGTCAATTTTCTATAATGGTAGGTAATATGACACTTATATCAATAGTCACAATCTGCCATGGCAACACATGACAGCATATGACTTCCAGTGAAGCATAAGTAAATACTACACTAACGACAAAAATTTGGTAGCATGCAAAAACAATGTTAAAAAAAAGTGAAATTTTCTTACTTCACTCTTTTTGCAAGATGATTTAAACATTTTCTTTTTCTAAATTTCTCAATCACAAGCAATGCAAAATGTGCATTTAAAAAAAATCTGTATAAAATTAAATAAAAAAATAATATTGTAAACAAAATGTACTACAGGTTTATTTAGTTTTAAGATATAGTAAAGTTTTTAATTCTCACAAAAATTTTGATTGAATAAACAAATCGCCTGACCTGGGGACATAAAAATGATTGACTGAAACATAATGAATTCCAGAGCAGAAAGAGAGCTCTAAAGTCGGCTAAAATGCCCGTTTTCCAAGGCTTTCAATTGAAAGTAATGAAGATATATAAAGAACCAATATAACATGGTATTCACAAGTGCAGATCTCGTAGACTCCCCAAGAAAGAACGCTGCCATGTGACCAGCATGCTCTCTGTATATTTGAGCTCTATGGGTTGAGTTCCCACAGACTGGGACCTTATTACATGAATAATTAACAGAATGCTGTTTTCCACTGTGTGAATCATACATTTCCATGATGCACATTGTAACCTTTTTGGTTTGTGATGAATTGTGTCATACATATCCTAGTCATTTATATTAATTAATAGTGAAACCTACAGCTAGTAACAGGCAAGGAACATTATAAAACCTCTTCAAGGGGTTCATTGGATAGCTTAGCTTTCTAAAAGGGTTCTACTTGGAGATCTTTCTGATAGAGAAAATCTTCATTGTAGGACTCTACAGAGAACCTTGAAAAACACTTAAAAGTCAGTAATTGTCTAAAACAACCTGAATAGCTCAGAGGTTCCTTCTGGACTGGAGACAAATACATGTATTTGAAAGTATATATTGAGGCTAGATGCAAGCTCAAGTGTGTGTAGCACTGAGCTTGGGTGTTTACATCCTAATAAAGAAATTCTTAAAAAGTGACCCATCACTTGTCAAATCAAGAACATCCATCTGCTAAGACGTGGCATTGGGGAATGTTACGGCTCTTCCAATTTTAATGTGCACAGTTCCCTTTCTCCCTAATGTAGTCAATCAACTAGGATATATTTCTGCATAAGGTTTGCTTTGTTGATTTTGGACCAGAGCTATGAGTCTCGCTAATTAAGTAAGTAAGGAATGATAGCAATTTTACTTATATCCTACAGAAGACATTAGCATACCCAAATTATTTACTCAAGGAATAGTGCAATTACTGAATGAATGAACATCTGAATGAATCCTCCAGCAAAAACAGAAGTACAGCTTCAAATTCTTCACTCTAGTAGAAAAGTATTTACCTAAAATTAATTAAATTTACCCAAAGTATGAAAGTAAAATTAAATATTCACAAAAGAAAAAAAGTCTTCCTCAAATCATACACTGATTTTAGTAACTCAAGATAAATTAGTTTTATTAAATTAAGGTTAACTAAGAACCATTTTATCCCTAATCTCTTAAATGTTAGCTAGCACACTATTAACTATGAGGATACAAAATAGTGCCTGTAGCAACAGTAATGGGCATTAGGTCTAATTTTCACTGTCACATCTGTTAGATTTGCTTGGAATTTACATCATCTTCTTGAAGCTGTCAGATGTTTTTTAAAAAAAATTGCCTTTATATGATTATAGAGAAACATGGTGATGTTTGAAAATGTAGTGCTTAACAGAGTTTTTCTTTTGAAATGTAGGAAGTAAAAATCAACAGTACTAGGTAAGACAAAAACTATAAAAAAAAAAAAAAAAAAAAAAAAAAAAAAAAAAAAAAAAAAAAAAAAAAAAAGAGTAAGACTTAGGTACAGTAACTGTACATCATTATTTAATTATAATATATCATTACAAGACTCAATGCAAGTTCAAAAGTGATTTTCATTATCCTCTGAATTACTTCATAACCGAGTCTGCTGCCAGTGTAGCAATACCAAATAACGTCCTGTAACGTCCTTTAGTCCATTTTGTCTAGATAACAGTGCACCGTACACTGTGAAAGCACATAAGCAAGTATGTTTGAGATACTGAGTAGCTGGATACAGCTTGAAGTAAATGTGTGACGATTTAAACATTCAATAAAAGGACTAAAAGCTTCCTTTAATTGTCAGAAACATTAGCCACGTCGCTACAGTGCAATACTGAGGAATTAAATGTCATATACTGAGCATTGGCCGATTAACTACGGTTGGGGTTTTGGCTGAGCCAAAGATAAAATCCAAATATTTGACACTAAAGAATGTTTTTCTGAACTCTTCGGAAGAATCAGAAGCACTTCATCATAAAGCCAGAGGGCCAATGCACATTATGATCAAGCATTAAGGGCCCTTGAAAATAAAGCTTCTCTCTCTCTCTCTCTCTCTCTCCTCATGCGAGTCGAGTGAGGGAGATGCTATTTTAACACCCAGCCTAGAATATTTATTTCCATTACACCATTAAATGTGCTTTCAGCACAGTGTAACCTGCATTTACACCAGGACTCAAACACTCTCCGACTGGGTTTGCATTTGCGTAAAGGCAGAGAAAGATGAATTGGGCTTTCAGACAATCTCTGGGGAGAAGTTCAGTGTCTCGCAAGCGTGATTACCATACCCAGCTTGGCTGCTAGTTCATTATCGTACTATAAGCGTAGCCGCATTGTCGAGTGTATGTCAAGCAATGGGGTAGTGACATGAATTACAACCAGTGACTAAGCAGTTCAAGTGTTGGAAGGAATACAAGATACAGATACATTGAGGAATTAATGCTAGGCTTTTCAGCATTATTTGTTGTTAATGACAGACCACTGAAGATCAGTGTTTGTCCATAAAACTTTCCAGAAATGAATATTGGGACATATAGACGGGTGTTGGACTAAAGGGGAAAAAATAAAAATAAAATGTTTTAGCCACTAGAACAGCTTCAGTGCACCTTGGCATAGATTCTATAACTCTCTGGAACAGTACTGGAGCAATGAACACCATTCTTCCAAAAGCTGTTCCCTCACTTGGTGTTTTGATGGTGGTGGTGGTGGAGAGTGCTATCTAACATGTTGCCCCAAAATCTCCCAAAGTTATTCAGTTGGGTGAGAGCTGGTGTCTGTGAAGGTCATAGCATATGATTTACATCATTTTCATTCTCATCAAACCATTCAGTGAGAGTTTGCTCTTTGTAAATGAGGGTGGGGTCATCCTGGAAGAGACCATGCCCAAGAGGATGGAAATGGTTCATCAGACAGGCGAACTTTTTACTGATTTACAGTAACTCTTTCCTCTAAAGTGACAAGTGGAGCCAAACCAATGCTAGCAAAAAGTGGGTCCAGCACTGAAATAAAAAAAACATTGCATTTTATTATGGCATGTGTAAAAGTAGTGCCGAAGGCAGCACAGAATTATGATTCCCATCAGCCCCTGCACATTACCTGATCACGACAGTCACCACGTCACATGACTGTTTGCACCTGATTCATGTTTAGGGGTAATGAGCACCAGTATTGAAGTCCTGTCCTGTTTACCACCCATTGTCTAGCTTTTGTCGTTGTTGAATGTCACTTTGGTGACATTCGCAGTGTGTTCATGTTACTGCCATGCATAGCTAGTTCTTGTTTGTTTTGTTTCATGATCATAGTCTTTGTTTTCGTGTGTTTCACTACAATAAATAGCTATCTGCACTTGCATTCGTCTCTAACTCCAATGCCTAACAGCACGGTCATGGTTTCTGGCTAGAAACACTACACAATTCATATTATATTGTGCAGTGCATGCCAATAATCTAAATAGCACATGGGAAATATTTCAGTCTGTATCGTACTGTATTAGCATGCACTTTGGCGTCAGTTAAAACCCTTAAGCATAAAAGTGAAAATCTCATTGCATTAACCTAACCTCATCATATGCA